GGTTGAATGCTTGCAAACCATTTAGTCATGTGACTTGGTTGATTGCTTGCAAACCATTTTGTCATGTGACTTGGTTGAATGCTTGCAAACCATTTTGACATGTGACTTGGTTGAATGCTTGCAAACCATTTTGTCATGTGACTTGGTTGAATGCTTGCAAACCATTTTGTCATGTGACTTGGTTGAATGCTTGCAAACCTTTTTGTCATTTGACTTGGTTGAATGCTTGTAAACCATTTTGTCATGTGACTTGGCTGATTGCTTGCAAACCATTTTGTCAGGTGACTCTCTTGGAAATATTGCAAACTATTATTTTTACCAGTGAAATAATAATAGCCTTGAATACATTTGATTTAAAAAATTGCTGTGGTATATAAGCTGTTATACCTATGTTTGATCATATAATGTATAATTCATTGTTCTGTTTATCGTAGGGAGATACTATTATCTATGGCTTTGAAATCAGTACAGATGATCCCCATTTGTTTGAAATTGGCCATTATAGAGCAGCACAACCCTTCCAGGTCAGTCTGGCTCACCTTTTTATTACTCTGGTCCTCTACCTTTGGTCACTATTAATAGTCAATTGATTGGCATTCATTTGCTAGAACAGTATAAACTCTTTTCATTTAAATGTAAATGTTTATCATGTGATTAAATTTTCTCTCAACAGGCTGTTGGTTTCCTTGACAAGAGAGCATGTGATGTGCAGGCAGTAGAAATAGCAAGAGCAGTGAAGCTAAGCACAACAAACATTGAGCAGATCAAGTTCGCTGTACCTCGTGTAAAGGTATTTTTTTTCGTAGAATTTTTAAGTGATCAGAGTTACTGACAAGTTCGCTGTACCTCATGTAAAGGTATTTTTTCCGCGAGAATTTTAAATGATCAGTGTTACTGACAAGTTCGCTGTACCTCAAGTAAAGCTATTTTCATGAGAATTTTAAATGACCAGAGTTACTGACAAGTTTGCTGTACCTCCAGTAAAGCTATTTTTTTCATGAGAATTTTAAGTGATCAGAGTTACTGACAAGTTCGCTGTACCTCGAGGAAAGCTATTTTTTCATGAGAATTTTAATCAGAGTTACTAACAGGTGATATTGAGTAAAGTATATTCTTTCCCATTTTAGCCAGAGTATTTCCAAGATGATATTTTCCCTGAGACCAGAGTCAAGTGGGAAGCAGCACTCAGCTGCCAGGATTGGCTTGCTGGAAAAAATAAAGAACTCAAGAAGATGAGCCTAAGACCACCAGACATGAAACCATGTAATATTAATTATTTTGAGGACTTGATTTAGTGTTAAATATGAGCACAAATCACCATGATTGCATGCTCGCTGATGCTTTACTCTGTAATAAAGTGCTTCCCTATCACAGACACAATGAAGGTTGGAATGGAGGTCAATTGAAATATTGCAAAGATGTCGTTGAAAAAACAAGTTTTCCAGGGTTGTGTTTTCCAGGGCAAATCGCTACAAAATG